CGGTTCCCCGAGTTACGTCCCCTTAGCTTAGCGTTGCTTATACCATCTTAGCTTAGCTTATTTCATCTTAACTTAGCTTAGCTTCATCTTAGCTCAGGTTTATCTTAACTTAGCTTACCATCGTCTTAGCTTCGCTGAGCTTTAGCATAGCAGAGCACAGCACAGCACAGCATAACGTAGCATAGCATAGCGCAGCATAGCATATCATAACATAGCCCAGCATATCATAACATAGCGCAGCATAGCATAGCATAGCATAGCGCAGCACAGCACATCACAGCATAACACAGCGCAGCATAGCATAGCATAGCATAGCATAGCATAGCATAGCATAGCATAGCATAGCATAGCATAGCATAGCAGAGCAGACCAGAGCAGACCAGAGCAGAGCAGAGCAGAGCAGAGCAGAGCATATCATAGCATAGCATAGCATAGCATAGCGCAGCGTAGCGTAGCATAGCACAGCATAGCGCAGCATAACATGCCATAGCATAGCACAGCATAGCACAGCAACTCATGCTGCTTTCCCAGGGGCTCCAACTTCTAGGTAGGGTCGCACTGGGGTAATTAGTTCAATGATAGGATTGTCAGGGTGTCCATTGTCATGACATCCACAGCTCTCATGGCGGGGCCATGACATCTCTCCAGATCTCGTGGCCCCTCCTCGCATTCCAGTGCGCTCCTTGGCGCCCCCTCGGGGCCGCGCACGCTCCGCGGGCCACGGTCTGCGAGCTCCCTGTCTTGGACGCTCCCCTTTGCGGCCGCTCCCGAGGAGGAGAGGGAGGAGGAGGACGAGGACGAGGACGAGGACGAGGACGATGACGAGGACGAGGACGAGGATGAGGATGATGATGATGATGATGATGATGATGATGATGATGATGATGATGATGATGATGATGATGATGATGATGATGATGCTGATGCTGATGATGATGATGATGATGATGATGTGATGATGATGATGATGATGATGATGATGATGATGATGATGAGGAGATGAGAGGAGGATGAGGAGGAGGGGAGGAGGAGGAGGGGGAGGGTGGGGGGAGGAGGAGGAGGAGGAGGGCGGAGGGGGAGGAGGAGGAGGAGGAGGAGGAGGAGGAGGAGGAGGAGGAGGAGGTGGAGGAGGAGGAGGAGGAGGAGGAGGAGGAGGAGGAGGATGAGGGGCTTTCGAGCGTTCCCGGGCCTCTCTTCTGGGCCTTGGGGGCGGCGCCCCTCGCGGCCACGTGCGCACGGCGGCGTGCGCCTGGCCGCGACGGCGTCGGCGTCGGCGTCGGCGTCGGCGTCGACGTCGTCATCGTCGTCGTCGTCGTCGTCGTCGGCGTCGGCGTCGGCGCAGTCGTCGTCGTCGTCGTCGTCGTCGTCGTCGTCGTCGTCGTCGTCGTCGTCGTCGTCGTCGTCGTCGTCGTCCGTCGTCGTGCGTCCGAGGGAGGCAGGGAAGGAGAGAACCGCTGAGCCAACTCCCAGCTGACGGTGCCATCCTGTTTTCGTTGTTGCTCTGGACCCCTTTGCGCCTCCAGGAGCCTCCAGGGTTGGAGACCTCTCGCGACCCGAGGCAGACCACGCCGCAGATTTTTTCATCCCTCTGGGCGTCCGGACCCCTGCGGCCGTCAGGAAACGACTCACGATGAAAAGCTGGCCTCAGCCAAAAGGGGTTCGAGAGGTGGGAGAGGCCCCAGGCGCCTTGCCTGGCGCTACCTCTGGTTCGAAGAAGGAAGAAACGGCACAGCATGCACTTTAGGAGCTCCTCGCGGATTTCTTGAATCTGAGCTGGCACCCCCCGGCGGCGCCTCCGGCGCCATTTCTGGCGCGCGGCGCGCGCCAGGGAGTGGGGCTCAGCGCAGATCCAAGACATCCGCGCGGACCTCCAATAGTTTATGTTTATGCAGTTTTTCTTCCCCCACTGGCGCCACAAGTGCTGGACAGTGTTTTTTCTTGAAGCGTCGGGCCCCAGGAGGTAGGGTCGATCCGCCCGACCCTCCTGTCCAGGCCCGCCCGCCCAAGACGCGCCCGTCGGGGCCCGCCTGCCCGATGACTGGAAGGCCCACCTGCCCGCTTGATCGAATGCCCTGCGCGCCCCGTGGCCCCAGTTGTAAGTCGGGCCTGTCCTTCTACAGGAGGAATGCGCAAAAACAGTTAAATGATAGTCTGGGGGCGATTATTTCTTTATTTTTTGACTTTTCTGCTTTGTTCTATATATACATACATATATAATATGTATGTCTGTATGTCTGTCTGTCTGTCTGTCTGTCTGTCTGTCTGTATGTATGTATGAATGAATGAATGAATGAATGAATGTAGGCAGGTAGGTAGGTAGGTAGGTAGGTAGGTATGTATGTATGCATGCATGCATGCAAATATATATATATATATATATATATATATATATATATACAAATGTCACTTTTCCTACGAGATCTGCCTGTAAGGGGACATGCCCGACCTGACCCTAGTTAGCGCCCGCCCGCCCGACCTGCTCTCAGGATCCGCCCGCCCGACCCGCCAGCAGAGCACACCCGCTCGCTTGCCGGGGCCCCCCCCCGCCCGCACGCCGGACCCGCCTGGCAAAGGGCTCGCCCGCCCGACCCGCCTGCTCAGGTCCGCCCCGCGTGGCCTGCCTGTCGGAGCCCGCCGGGCCGGATCGTTGATTCAGGTCCGCCGGCGCGTCTCCAGGCGAGCGATCCTCGGGGCGAGCAGTCCTCGGGGCGAGCGTGCCTCCGGGCGAGCGGTCCTCTGGGCGATCGGTCCTTCGCGCGAGCAGACTTCGCGCGGCGGTCTTCCGGGCGAGGGGTGTCCGAGCGGGTCCTCCTCTGGCGGAGCGGTCTCCACGTACCCACCGCATGCGCAGGGCACGGTGGCCGGCACGGGGGCCGCCCCTCGGCAGATCGCCCTGCACCGCCATCCCCAGGTGCGTGGATGGCAGGCTTCGCGACCATACCCAGGCAAGGATCGTGCCTAGGCTCCGTTTCAGGCGACTGCTCGCCCAGAACAAGAGGTCCACTGTCGGGGGCGCCTCTGGAGTCTCGCCCCCTGGCCTTAAGTCGGGCCTGTCCGCCTACAGGGGGTCGTTCGACGAAGAATAAGACATACCCCAAAAATAGTAAAAAAATAGTCCAAAACTAGTCTGGGGGCTATTCTTGACATTTTTTTTTGACCTCGTTGGGGTATTCTCGGGGTATTTTTTATTTTTCGTTGAACATCCCCCTGTAAGGGGGACACGCCCGACACAACCCTGGCCTGTGCTTGGACCTCCCAACAAAGGCGGCGAGGCCCGAGTGCATGCCCCCCCCCCCCGGGCCTTCTTCCGTGGAGGCACCTCCCGCCGTGTGCTCACCTTCTGAGGAGGTGCGCAAAACAGCATATTGCAGCACATTTCCCCGAGGTACTCCAGGCCTTCGCATTACGACGGACACGACCTCCACAGTTACTCAATATGAATATACTCTCCCTCTTCCCCTGATGGCGTCCGGGTGATGGCCGCGCACCCTCCGCGTACTGTTTTTTTGCACACAGGATGCCCGGGAAATCCCGGGAAACGACTCTCGCTGAGGCGCCGGCGTCATTTTTTCCCAAAATGCTGCTCTCGTTGAGGCGCCGGCCTCATTTCTGCTCCCGAATCGTTCCGAATCGTGCTCCCGCTGCAGCGTGGGCCTCATTTTCGGATCGGTGTTTGGCCTCCGTCGTTCAGGATGGCGTTCTCGCCCCAGCGCGGGCCTTTTTCTCGCGCGCCCATCCGCCCGCCACCACCGCGCCGCACCACCACCACCACCACCACCACCACCACCACCAGCACCACCACCACCACCACCACCACCACCACCACCACCACCAGCACCAGCACCAGCACCACCACCAGCACCAGCACCAGCCCAGCACCAGCACCAGCACCCACCCACCCACCCACCACCACCACCACACCACCACCACCCACCACCACCACCACCACCACCAGCACCCACCCACCACCACCCACACCCACCACCACCACCACCACCACCACCACCACCACCACCACCGACAACCACGCACACACGCACGCACGCACGCACGCGCACCACCACCCACTACGCACGCGCGCGCGGAGCCACAGGTCCGCTACGACACGCGTCCGCGGATAGAGAAAATCAGCGCCATGGTAAGGGATGGGAGGGAGGGGTAGGACGTCAGATATGACGCGAGCGCACCTAGCTTGCCCTTTCCCCCCCTCCCTCCCTTCCCCCCTCCCCCTCCCTTCTACAATTACACAATCTGAATACTACTCTCCTCTTTCCCCTGATGGCGTCGGGAAGATGTTCGGCCCCCCTCCGCGTATTGTTTTTTACATACAGGATTCCCGGGAGTTGGGTTTTCGCTAGGTTTGTTTTCAAAATGTTGTTCCCGCTGAAGCGCTGGCCTCATTTTCGGGCTTCCGCTCGTTCCGAATCGTGCTCCCGCTGCAGCGCTGGCCTTATTTCCGCGCTTTCGCTTGTTCCGAATCGTGCTCCCGCTGCAGCGCTGGCGTCATTATTTCCAGTGCCATGCCACGGCATGCAATTCAAAGCTATGTGCTATTCCGCTGTGCGATGCCATGCCTTCAGCTGCAATGCAATGATATGCAATGCTTGAGACTACCCATTGCCACGCCATGCTATGCCGTGCTACGCTTTGATCTTCAACGCCATGCTGTGCCATATTCTGTTCTGTGCCGCAACTCACGACAGGAGCGCCGGGCCCCATCATTCGGCGCCATCTTTCGGGCCAGATGGATCCGTGAGGGCCCTGAGGTCCGAAACGGGGCGCAAACGCACAAGATTGCAGCGACAGGACCTCAGAGCGTCCCTCCCCTTCCCCCTCCCCCTGTCCCCCTCCCCTCCCCTCCCCCCTTCATGCCGTGGAGTTGATCTGATAGTGCTGGTTTTGTTATTGTATATCAATAATGTTTACAATGGTGTGTGTGTGTGATCGACTACTGTACCAGTCTGGTCGTAGACACCACGAAAAAGGGGGGGGTGCGGTGGGCCAGGCGCCGGCGGCGGCCCTCCCGCGCCCGGCGCCGGGGCTGCGGCCAGAGGCCGGGCCACGAGCCGTTTTGGGGAGGGGGAGGATCGAGGCAGGTAGGCGGGGGGGGGTCTATTTTTATGGATCCAGTTTCTGGCAAGATCGTTGCGTACACATTCTTGCAAAGGCGGGATGGACGGTATTGCAGCAGCTCTTCCCACCTCCGCAGCAATTTGTTTCAGAGGCCGCACAGAGGGCCGTGCTAGCAGCACACTGCGAAATATACACCATCGTTCGTAACAACTGATTTGTGTATCCTCCAAAGACGCTTGCTTATGGGAAACGTAGTTCGAGCCATAGAGAACTGGTGTTCGACTATTTTTTTTTCGTTTGCAATCGTCAAGCTGTCCACATGCCTTCCTCTTTGCCCGCATGACTTCCTCTGCTATCTGCACGGCTTCCTCTGTATCTGCATGGCTTCCTCTGCTATCCGCATGACTGCCTCTGTATTCGCATGGTCTCCTTTGCTTTTCCAATGGCTTCATGTGGCTATTCCAAGTCTAACACTCGTCAAACTCAAAAGATGAATAGAGTAGAATAGTGTAGGGCGGAGTAGAAGAGATGAGAGTAGAGTAGAGACGAGTATCTGAGTTGAGTAGAAGGGATTCGAATAGAGTTGAGTAGAGCAGGGTTGAGAAGAGTAGACCAGAGTAGTTTATCTCCCTTTTCATTATTTTAGCCTGGCTCTCAATCCCTGCTCGCAGATGCTTGTGCTGCCAGCTGCTTCTAGCAAGGAGCTCCTCCTCTTTCTCCCCTCCTCCTCTTCCTCCTGCTGCTCCTCTCCTCCTCCTCCTCCTCCTCCTCCTCCTCCTCCTCCTCCTCCTTCTCTTTCTCCTCCTCCTCCTCCTCCTCCTCCTCCTCCTACCCCCCCTTTTCGATCCCTGCAGCAGGGGCCCGGAATGCTTCCTGCTGCAGAGCGTTCGCGGGATTTCGACTGACAGGCCTCACTGTCGAGCTGGACGGATATCGGCGTCACCCCAACATACCAATACTATGTGTGCGTCGTCCCCCAGGGGCGACACGCGCACCGAGAAATCTCATAGTATATGCGTCGTGGCGGGCTCTTTCTGGCCACGCCGCTCGGGAAACGATCTACTACAAGATGGGTATCGGAGGTGAGGGGGTGAGATCGAAGTGGAACGGAGAGCCCCCCTACTGGGAAATCGGTTTCGGTTTCGTGTTCGTGCGTGCCGTGCGTGCGGGCGAGGCGAAGCTGCGTGGGCGGGCGGGAGGAAAGTCTCCTGTGGCTGAGGCGCGGCCGGACCAAATGACTCCCTTCGGCAACCGGTGGCCCGCGGTGTCCCGCCGGTGTCCCGCCTCCGGCTGAGGCGCGGCCGGACCAAATGACTCCCTTCCGGCGTCCGGTGGCCCGCGGTGTCCCGCCGGTGTCCCGCCTGTGTCCCGTCGGTGTCCCGATGATGATGATGATGATGATGATGATGATGATGATGATGATGATGATGATGATGATGATGATGATGATGATGATGATGATGATGATGACGATGATGATGATGATGATGATGATGATGTTGATGATGATGATAATGATGTCGATGATGATGATGATGATGATGATGGTGATGGTGGTGATGATGATGGTGTCCCGATGATGATGGTGATGATGATGATGACGATGTTGTTGATGATGATGATGATGATGGTGTTGATGAAGATGGTGCCCCGATGATGATGATGTTGATGATGATGATGTTGCTGATGATGATGATGATGATGATGATGATGATGACGGTGTCCCGATGATGATGATGATGATGATGATGATGATGATGATGATGATGATGATGATGGTGATGATGATGATGATGATGATGATGATGATGTTGATGATCATGATGGTGTTGATGATGATGAGCTGATGATGAGACGATATAGATGATAAAGAAGAAGATGAGGATGATGGTGTCCCGATGATGATGATGATGGTGATGATGATGATGATGATGATGATGATGATGATGATGATGATGATGATGAGGTTGATGATGATGCTGTTGATGATGGTGATGATGATGGTGTCCCGATGGTGATGATGATGTTGATGATGACGATGGTGTCCCGATGATGATGTTGATGATGAGCATGATGATGAGGTGATGAGGATTATTTTGATGATGGTTGTCCGATGATGGGGATGATGATGACGATGATGCTGAGGTTGATGATGATGGTGTCCCGATGATGCGGATGATGATGGTGATGATGATGATGATGGTGACGATGATGATGGCGTGTCGATGATGATGATGATGATGATGATGATGATGATGATGATGATGATGAGGTTGATGATGATGCTGCAACTGATGATGATGATGATGATAATGATGGTGTCCCGATGATGGTGATGTTGTTGATGATTTTGTTCATGATGATGATGAGATGATGATGATGCTGATGATGGTGTTCCAATGGTGATGATGATGGTGTCCCGATGATGATGATGTTGTTGATGATGATGATGGTGACGATGATGGTGTCCCGATGATGATGGTGTTGATGCTGATGGTGATGAGGTGATGAGGTGATGATGGTGTCCCAATGATGATGATGATGATGATGATGATGATGATGATGATGATGATGATGATGATGATGATGATGATGATGCTGTTGTTGTTGTTGATGACGTTGATGACGATGCTGTGGTTGATGATGATGACGGTGTCTCTGCGATTTATTGTGATAGCGATAGTGAAATCGACAGTGAGACCGAATGTGATATTGATTGTGAGATCGGTAGTGCGATCGATAGTGGGATCGGTTGTGAGATCGATCGTTAGATCGATTGTAAGATCGATCGAATGAAATAGATCGAGTGAGATCGATCGGGTGAGATCGAACGAGCGAGACCGATGGTGAGACCGATAGTGAGATCGATAGTGAGATCGATCGAGCGAGACGTTGGCCCCCCCCCCCCGAACCTCCATATCACCCGAAGGGTGGCCGTATAGGTACTATATGTTCGGGTCGGATGCACGCCTCCAAGGAGGACATATAGTATTAGTATGTCTCTGTGCGCCCCAGGATAGCTCGAGTTTGGCGCCGACTCCCCGCCCTCCTTCTCTTCGTTCGCGTCCCCGCCTTCGGCGTCCCCACGACGACGGGAGCCCGAATGACAAGAGACGGACGGATGACGGGGAGGAGGAAGAACGACGAGGGGGAACCCTCCTCCTCCTCCTCCTCCTTCTCCTCCTCCTCCCCCGCCTCCTCCTTCTCCTCCTCCGCCTCCTCCTCCCCCTCCTCCTCCTCCTCCTCCTCCCCCGCCTCCTCCTCAAGTCCCGCGTGATCTGTGTCAGGGGTGCGCCGAGATGGGCCCAGGATCCGCGTGCGAACGCACATGCTGGGTCTATCGGTGGAGCTCCATGAGAGGCGCGATCCTCGTGACGGGTGCGCGAAAATGGACCCGAGGACCGCATGCGAGCGCATCCGCTGAGGCCACAGGTGGAGCTCCCTATGAGGGCACCGTCCTTGCCTCATCCATGGCAGCACGATGGCTGCACTGTGCGGGGCAGCGGCGAGGGGTCGAAGGGGGCGCAACGCGAGCCGCTCGGAGGCGCGCGCCGCGCGCTGTCCATCGACCCCGACGACGTGGCCGCGGGCGCGTTCAAGGTGCCGACTTGGGGCGGCCTGGCGGTCGCCCGATCGGCGCCGCTTCTCGGATGCGCCAGAGAGGGTGTGCGAGGGAGGGAGGGAGGCAGGGGAGGGGAGAAGCGGGTGGGGGGGGGGGGGGGGCGATGGTGGAGGAGGAGGGAGGGAGGGAGGGAGGGAGGGAGAGGAAGATAGGGAGGGGGGAGGAAGGAGGAGGAGGGGTGGTGGTGGAGGAGGGGGGATGCATGAGGAGGAGGAGGAGGAGGAAGAGGAACACCAATAACATAACACTAACAAGACGAGTGCTAGTATTAAGAATAGTTACAATAGTACTAATAACAATGCTACTCGTAATGATGGTAATACTTTCATTCCAGTGATGAAAGACGAAGAGGAATGATGATACTGATACCGGCATGCAGAACATAGCATGACTAATCATAACACGAAAAGTATAAGACAAATCATACCAATTTTAAGACTAATGAAGAAACTGGTGCGAATAAGAGGAAGAACCGTATTGAGACTACTCATGTTACAAATGCGAAACGTTCAAATCAAACTTTTAACATCCTGGGTGTTCGTTTTAATTACAATAACGAATATACCAATCAGATCAGTAATCAGAACGTAATGCTAACACCACTACTAATGATACTCACAGTCATGATGCTACTCGTATCGGCAATACCACTTACTACTACTACTACTTGTATTCATAAGCGTAATAATTCTAGTTATTCACATTGTTAGTAGTGTTAGTATTGGTCGTCCTAACCACATTTTTTGGTATGAGTAGTAATCAATGCATGATCGCGCTACCACTCGTACTATGAACAGTATTCGTCATATGAACACTTGCGACGCTAGAATTGGTAGTGGCAGTACTATTATCTCTCTTCGTAGTAGTCGTAGTCGTAACCGTGGTAGTGGTAGTAGTAGCAGTTGCAGTTGCAGTAGCAGTACTAGTAGTAGTAGTAGTAGTAGTAGTAGTAGTAGTAGTAGTAGTAGTAGTAGTCGTAGTAGTAGTAGCCGTAATAGTAGTAGTAGTAGTAGTAGTAGTAGTAGTAGTAGTAGTAGTAGTAGTAGTAGTAGTAGTGGTAGTGGTAGTAGTAGTAGTAGTTGTAGTAGTAGTCGTCGCCGTCGTAGTGGTAGTAGTAGCAGAAGAACTCGCAGCAGTAGTAGCAGTCGTAGCAGTAGTCGTCGTAGTCGTAGTAGTAGCAGTAGTAGTAGTAGTTGTAGTCGTAGTAGTGGTCGGCGTAAAAACGGAATAGAAGTGATAGAAGTAGTAGTAGCCGTAGTCGTAGTATTAACAGTAGTAGTAGTAGTAGTAGTAGTCGTAGCGGTGGTGGTCGTAGTAGAAACAGTAGTAGTAGTAGTAGTAGTAGTAGTAGTAGTAGTAGTAGTAGCAGTAGTCGTCGTAGTAGGAGTAGTAGTATTCGTAGTATCAATCGTCGTAGTCGTAGGCGTAGTGGCAGTAGTCGTAGTAGTAGTAGTAGTAGTAGTAGTAGTAGTAGTAGTAGTGGTTGTAGTAGTAGTCGTAGTAGTAGTACTAGTAGTAGTAGTAGTAGTCGTAGTAGTAGTAGTAGTAGTAGTAGTAGTAGTAGTAGTATTATTAGTAGTAGTGGTAGTAGTAGTAGTAGTAGTAGTAGTAGTAGTAGTAGTAGTAGTAGTCGTAGTCGTAGTAGCAGCGATTGTAGTGGTAGTAGTAGTAGGCGTAGAAACCGTCGTAGTCGTAGTAGTAGTAACAGTTGTAGTAGCAGTCGTGGTAACAATATTCGTAGTAGTAGTAGTAGTGTAGTAGTAGTAGTAGTAGTAGTAGTGTAGTAGTAGTAGTAGTAGTGTAGTAGTAGTAGTCGTAGTAGTATCGTGTGGGCAGTCTAGTAGTGTTAGGTCGTATTAGTAGTAGTAATAGTAGTAGTAGTACTAGTAGTAGTAGTAGTAGTAGTAGTAGTAGTAGTAGTAGTAGTAGTAGTAGTAGTAGTAGTAGTAGTAGTAGTCGTAGTCGTAGTAGTAGTAGTAGTAGTAGTAGTAGTAGTAGTAGTAGTAGTAGTAGTAGTAGTGGTAGTAGTAGTAAACGGAGTAGTAGTAGTAGTAGTAGTAGTAGTAGTCGTAGTAGTAGTAATGGTAGCAGTAGCCGTAGTCGTGTTAGTAGTAGTTGGTATAGTAGTAGTCGTAGTAGCTCTAGCTGTCGTAGTAGTAGTAGTAGTAGTAGTAGTAGTAGTAGCGATAGTTGTAACCGTAGTAGTAGTAGTAGTAGTAGTAGTAGTAGTAGTAGTAGTAGTAACAGTAGCAGTAATAGTAGTAGTAGTAGTCGTAGTAGTCGTAGTGGTAATGGTAGTCGCTGTTGCTGTTCTATTAGATGTAGTAGTAGTAGTAGTAGTAGTAGTAGTAGTAGTAGTGGTAGTGGTCGTAGGAGTAGGAGTAGTTGTAGTAGTGGTAGTAGTAGTAGTAGCAGTAGTAGTAGTAGTAGTAGTAGTAGTGGTAGTGGTAGTAGTCGTCGTCGTAGTAGTCGTACCAGGAGTCGTAGTACTCGTAGTAGCCGTAGTAGTATTCGTAGTATTAGTAGTAGCAATAGTAGCCGTAATCGTAATCGTATTCGTAGATGTAGTAATGGAAGTCGTAGTAGTAATAATAACAATACGACTGGTTCTAGTAGTAGCATTTTGATTAGTAGTAGTAGTAGTAGTAGTAGTGGTAGTACTCGTAGTAGTAGTAGTAGTAGTAGTAGTAGTAGTAATCGTAGTAGTAGTAGTAGTACTTGTAGTAGTAGTAGTAGTAGTAGTAGTAGTAGTAGTAGTAGTAGCAGTAGTACTCGTAGTAGTAGTGGTAGTAGTGGTCGTAGTAGTAGTAGCGGTAGTAG